ATGTGCTTGGACACAGAGCTCTGTGAACAGCCAGCCTCTTTAGCAATGACCTTTTGTGACTTGCCCTCCTTGTGCAAGGTGTCAATGGTCGTCTTTTGGACAGCTGTCAAGTCAGCAGTCTTCCCCATGATTGTGTAGCCTACAGAACTAGACTGAGAGACCATTTAAAGGCCTTTGCATGTGTTTTGAGTTAATTAGCTGATTAGAGTGTGGCACCAGGTGTCTTCAATATTGAACCTTTTCACAATATTCAAATTTTCTGAGATACTGATTTTGGGGTTTTCATTAGTTGTCAGTTATAATCATCAAAATTAAAAGGAATGAACACTTGAAATATATCAGTCTGTGTGGAATGAATGTATACATTATACAAGTTTCACTTTTTGAATGGAATTACTGAAATAAATCAACTTTTTGATGATATTCTAATTATATGACCAGCACCTGTATATTTACAAGGAAAACAGTGGTGTGCCAGGACTTTTTGGTCATTAAGCACCCTCTGTTGGTGTTTTAGAGGCATTTCATGTCCATTCAAAATCATAGAAGTTAAAAGCATTACTTTTACAGTGTATCTCAAGAGCGCAGTGGTAATGGGCTTGCCCTTCAGATTCAAAGGTTGATGAGATAAGACATAACTTTATTAATCCCTCGTAGGAGAAATTTCGGTTGACATAGCAGCACAAAGGAATATAAAAGAACAGATGCCGTATTGTAGAACATTCAGCATAGATGTATACATAAATATAAACTGAAAGCACATTATATGCGATCAATATACAATTAACATTCAGTGTAGAAGTATTAACACACTATTTACACTATATAATCAATAATAATTTTTTACAACCATTTACCACCAGATAAATGTCTGAAATATAATCAGGAACATCCGTCAGTTGGGTGCTGATGGCTGATGGCACAAAAGAGCCTCCAAAGCGCTTTGAGGCTTGGGGCTGGATGACTTTTTGGCTGAAGGTGCTCCTGAGCTGCCTCAGCTCAGCATAGAGAGGATGAGAGGAGTTCTCCATGATGGTTTTCAGCTTCCCTCTCATCTTCCTGTCAGTCACTGTCTGAACACTGTCCAGTTCCATCTCACCACTGAGCTGGCCTTCCTCACCAGCTCGCCCAGTTTGTTGGCGCCACAAGTCCCGATGCCACCTCCCCAGCACACCACAGTGAAGAAGATGACACTGGCCACTACAGACTGGTAGAATATCCGTAGCAGCCTGGTGCACACATTGAAGGACCTGATCCTCCTCAGGAAGAACAGCCTCCTCTGTCTTTTCCTGTAAAAGGGCTCGGTGTTGTCTGTCCAGTCCAGTTTATTGTTGAGTTCACCCCAGGAACTTGTAGTTGTCCACCATCTCTACTCCCTCACCCCTTATTAAAACAGGGGTGTGGGGCTGTGTCTGAAGTCCACCAGCTCCTTGGTTTTTCCTGTGTTGAGCTGGAGGTGGTTGCTGTCACACCATCCAATGAAGCTCTCAATCAGGTCTCTGTACTCCTCCTCGCTGTCATCTCTGAAACAGCCGGCGATGGAGGAGTCGCCTGAGATCTTATTGAGGTGGCTCGATGGATCAAATCCCATTCACGGCATGTTGAACTGAAGAAATATTTCTGAAAATGCATGCATTGATGATGCAAAACTTGCTAAACTTTGCTCGCACACCAGGCAGGCCGACAACCAACAGCAAGTTGGCCGTTTTGGATTTAATAGTCATACTTGGCGAATTACATACTCCGGAGTTTAATGAACTCCTCCTAGAGAATTAGTCCGATCGACTTTGATGATTACTCATTGATGATTACACAATGTACAAATGAGTTTTGGTCGACCGGAGGTGCCCGTGGCATGTATTCAAATATCAATGATTTGTCACGAAACAGGAAGTTGCTATAACTTAAGTGTAAATGCTCACATCTGTACCAAATTTGACACGTGTGATAACAGTCCTACCTTGAAAACAGCCAACATTCACTCAAAGTCATACCGCCATGCGTCATACTGTAATATGTTGGCAATATCAACTTCAAAACTGCCCCAGAAAACCCATAACACAGTGATGATGCTATGTTGTGAAGCTTGTGTGAGTTTTCGGTCCGTGGTGGCAAAGTTCCACACTTCGCCAAGACACAGGAAGGTTTAGTATCTGTATCTCAGTATTGTAAACTGCTGCCAGTTGCATATATTCACCTCCATAAGCACAAAAAAGTTGCCACAATGTAGCTACCTGTCATTTCTCTCTCAAAATTCCATTTTTCCCCTCAGTGGTTTAGATTTACCCCTTAACTGATCCATCCATCCATCCATCGTCAACCGCTTATCCTGCATACAGGGTCGCGGGGGGCTGGAGCCTATCCCAGCTGACATTGGGCGAAAGGTGGGGTACACCCTGGACAGGTCGCCAATCCATCGTTACAGTCAAGCTCCCATTGACTCCAGCAGAAACTATTCCTTCTCTCTCCCAACTCGCAAAATCCTCTTTCCTGTCTCAAGTGTAGACACATGCTATATATTGTCATGCACAGCTGCTCAAGCTCTAACTAAAAATACCAAAATGACATCTGAAAAGACAAATGCACTTTACCATCAACAATACTTAAAATTGTTGAGGAGGGTCATTCAATAGCATAGAGGTAGAGTGTTTGTCCTTATAGTACCACTTCTGGTGCCAGACATGTTCCAGATAAGAGATCAACTCTATAAAAATACCGTCTACTGACCAATCAGTTCTCTTGGAAAATTACCACCTGTGGACGATCCCGCAGACTACTTTAAAGGCTGCTTTTCTGTTTGTTGCGGTGATGCAAATAAAATTTTGTATAGCAATATCATCCTACAGAGACTGATTGAAGTAGGCTACAAGGCCTTGTAGGTTTTTAAGATGTGACAGTAGTCTAAGCCTACCTACCGCTTTGAATGGATTTTATATTTTTTATTGCTCCCAAGTCCGTTTCAAACAGCCTGTTGCATCTGTTAAAATAAATGGGTTTCATTTTTCTTATGTGAGGCTGAATATTATGAGCATAGCATATAGTTTGTTAGGCCTATTGAAATTAAGTTTAATATGAATTTTATTTTATTATATATTTATTTTAGGTTAGTATGTATCTGGTATTATAGAGACTGGTCAAGTCTCTTTTGACTTTTGCGTAGTGGGACAAGCCTTTAGGTAATGTGGGAGAGTTTTCAGTAGCCTAAATCTTTCACCAATATTTGAGCACATTTTATGGCATGAATGGATTTTTCGTTTCGTTGCTTTATGAAGTTAATTTAGAACAATGTTTGGAACATTTGTGTTAAATAGGCTACATTAATGTAATTTTTGAAGTGACTAGAAGTTATTAAAAGGGAGTCTGAACGACCACTTATTCAGTGCCCGAGTCTTTTAAAGTGGAAACGCCGACACAGCTCAAAGACTCACTCACACTGTCTGCGATTTTCTGCATTTCTGCAGCTGTACTACTTTGACTATGTCTATTTACTACTACTACAGTTTGCTCTTTGTTTGTAAAATATGACGCTCTGCTTCCAGTAGACTTGTCCATGTTTGCGATTGGTCATCTGCCTCTAACACCGCCTCTTTTATGTAAACACGCTCATGGCTGGATTGGGAAACCCTGGGTTAACTTACCTAGCTGATAACCAGCTTCATGTGACCACTTATCACAATCTCGATTGTTAGTTAGTGAAGCCAGATAATGAAAAGATATCCTGGGTATGTTGAACTTGCTTTGTGGTTACAGGCCCCAGGTGACAGGTGAACTACTTGAGTTGATGACAACTCGTAACATTACATAATGCTCAACAGGGCTGTCTCAGGCTTTTGAAACATCAAGTGCTTAGCTCAGCCCATTCATTTTCATGCTTTCACCTGTGTGTCGAGGTGTGAGACATTCATGTTGCAGATTGTAAAGCTTTGCCGGTGCAGCTGTGAATTTGCTACGCGCTTCGGACACTGCATTAAGGTGTTATACGTCACTTCCTGTGTCCTCTTTGTGGCGCTGCAGAGCACCTGCCGCTACGACTACAGGTGGTTATTGGTGTGTAGATGTGTTCAGGGCGGAAAAGTTATGAGGCACGCACAGATTGGTACAGATTTGAGCATGTACAGTTAAGTTACGATGACTTCCTGTTTCACGGCTAAACTTCGCCACCACGCCAAGGATACGCTGTTAAAGGAAAACTTACAGGCTTTACAACATGACATCATCAATGTGTTTTGAAGTACATATAGCCAACTTGCAAGAAGTAGTTCATCACAGCGTAAACACAGTCACTTCCTGTTGTCAGCAGGTGGCCCTGTGACTACGGGTGAATTTGGGTTGTAGATATGTTCAGGGCGGGACTCTTATCAAACATGTAGTTTGGTGCGGATGTGAGCATGCAAGTTACAACAACTTCCTGTTTCATGGCGAATCATCTATTTTGGATGCCACGCCACGGGCACGCCATTTCTCGAAAACCCCATTTGTACAACTTTTAATAATCTGTGGGATTAGACTCAGCAGTGAAAATCTGAAGTCGGTCAGACTAATTCTCTAGGAGTTTGTTAAAGTACCGAGTGTGTAAATCATCCAAAAATGACCATAAAACTCATAATGGCCGACTTCCTGTTGGATTTAGGGCATCGCTCCAAGAGGCTTTTTAGTACGTCTGGACATGATAAATTTCATACATGTAGGTGTAACGTGCCACGGACGTTGCTTCGTTAAAGGTCATTTCCTGTTGCCAGCAGGTGGCACTATGACTGTGAAGAATGTCGGCATGTACATGTGTTCAGGGCGGGACTCTTATTAAACATCTAACATTTGGTACAGATATGAGCATGTACAGTCAAGTTACAACAACTTCCTGCTAGGAGTAGTACATTACAACATAAAAACGTGAAGAGAACTAAAACAGAAAAACATAGAATGGTTCTACAGTTTCTAATAATAACTAAAACAGAATTTTCACAGCACTAAAAAACAAATGGGAAAAACTTTTGATATACTTGATCTTGGCAGTATGGGGACTTTATTTTCAAATCAGTCAAGACAGTCAAGACAATATATGGTTATTTTTATTTCCTAAATACAAAATATGAACTGAACAAACATACAGTGTGTGCTGTGATTGGTAGATATAATGTGGGAAATTGTGGATTCAAATCTGATTGGCTACAGTAAAATCAGTGAAAACTAAATATCTGGATAAATGTTGATCAAATTAACATTTGACAAAGTGCCAGGTAAGCTGCAAAAACACATCTGTGAACCATTTCTTTTGTTTGTTACAAAAGTTACAATCCACATTTGATCAATCATTTCTTAAGCTATTAAACTGAATCCCTTAAAGTTAATCAATCAATAAATCAATTTATCAGTGAGTACTGATGTATTTAAGGCACTTTAATGGGAATTTAGGGGAACTATCAGTGTACAATTTAATGGAAAAATATATTATATTAAAGGTATTTGAATGGATTATCTGCACAGTTTAAGGTTGCTACATTAATTATTATAAATGTATTCATTATTTTAGTCCCAATTAGGGTATTGTATAGACCTATTAAAACCTATAAAAATATAATTCATTTGTACCTGAAAATATTTTAGACCCTTAATAAAAACCAAATCCCCAACCTGAATAACACCTTTAACTGATTATTAATGGATTAAAGGTTCAGTGTGTAATATTTCTGAGGATTTATTGACAGTGCAATATAATAACTATGTTTTCAGTGGTGTATAAAGACCTTACATAATGAACCGTGTTATTACCTTAGAATGAGCCATTTATATCTACTTAACTGCAGGTTCCCCTTACATGGAGGTCGCCATGTTTCTACAGTGGCCGAAAACAGACAAACTGCTCTCCAGAGCGTGTTTACTATGTAATTCCGGCAATGCAGATGCCTGTAATAATAATATACAGTCTCTGAGTAGTCATCTGGTTTATAAGAAGTAAGAAGAGAAGTGCAATTTGGACAAATGGAGGAGCACACCTATTATTTAGCACGTGCAAAACATGATGAAGCCAGGCGAAGTCGGGACAGATACAGACAGATGACGGCAGAAATAAAGGATATATTCATTGTGAATTTTCCCAGATAGAAGGCACTGATGCTGGACAAATATTTTCAAAGCGGAGCTGAAGTTCCCTGTTTTCTGCTGGACAGGTAATTAAGTTAGTCCACCTTTAGCGATGCAAATGAAAACTGTTGTTTAATAGCTTTAGATAGAAGCTGGGCATAATCACTGAGAGAAGTGACATGTTTCACCTGTCAATGTTGTGAAATATATAGCTGGATTATAATTTCATTAACTGTTCTCCAGTGTGTGTCATGGCTTTGCTACATCAACTTACGAGAAATGTGCCACTTGCGTTCGTGAGACAATCAGCTGATTAATAGGCAATAAAGCCTACAGAATGGAAGCTCAGATGAGACAGCTTAACTTTTACTGCCCTACAAAAAACATTTAGTTGGATTGTAATTTTTTAAATTATTCTTCAACACTGTGTTGGCCTCGCTACGTGGACAGAAAAGTACCGGTTACATTCGTGAGACAATCAGCTCACGAATCACTGTCATTGGCAATAAAATAGTACAGCATGGAAGTTCCGATCAGCCAATTTAACTTCACATTTTACTGTTCTAGTGGAAAACACTTTACAGCTGACAGCGTTATGATAACCGTGTGGAGAGGAGCCTTGACAATGCTTTCATAAATGTGGTTTATAAAGGTGCAGAAACAGTGAGTTTAAATTTTTTGTCAGTGGTCATACTAGATAAAATAGTTTTTGAGATGTTCTTCATTTACTTAGACCAGATTATAGGAACATAACATGCAACATCATATAGCACTTAATTTTTTGATGTTGCTGTTGTTTGACGGACAATTAATGATAATATTCGCAATAACATATGGTTTTATTGAATAATTAGGTAAATATAATTTCTTAATATATCTATCTAAACAAATCTATCTAATTTCTCGACTGGCTACTCTCTTTTGTCCTGTGTCGGCCACTGTAGCTATTTTATGTGCTTAGATAGAGGAGGGGGGGCGGTGAGTGAGGAGTATTTTTACAATTCATTGCAATTCACAACCCTCACCACTAGACGTCAATGGAAATTATACACTCATCTGTTAAGGGCTTTTAAATAAGGTGTTTCATTTTTTCAAATTAATGGACAAATGAAGGGATTTCTGGTTACCATAACAACTACCTTGTTTCAGGGGAAGCTTTTGATGTGTTGAAGGGTAAATTAAGCATTAAAAAATTTAAGGAGTTGTTTCACTGTGAAACACTCCGGTTCATATTGTTGATCTAATCTAAGGCATATTACTGTTCACGTGTCCAGGTAAATAATTCTACATGATTGTCAGCTCACTGGTTTCTATTAAATATAAAATACTGCAATAAGCAGAGCTAATTTCTGTCCCTCTTTTCGCTGTGTTGTGCGCTGTCATTTATAGCTTGCGTTCTCCGGAGACAATGCTCAGGTAGATACTGTCTGTTAGAGAAATGTAGCTCTTCTGCTCGTAGTCCAACACATAGAGAGGATCAGAAATTGTTGAAGGGTTGAAGCCGCTCTGCACCAGCTGGAACTTCTGCTGCTTGAAGGTGCTTGTCATTTCCATGAACTCCTGAGGGGAAAACACAGTTAGTGTAATCAGTGTCATTTCAGCTTTAATATTTATCAGATTTAATATGAAATATTTAACTGTCTAATGTTTTGGATTTAGGTCAGAACTAAAGTGATAAAATGTACAGTAGATATTGCAGGGGATCATTGCTGACAAGCTCACAATTGTGTATGCCATTACACTAGGCTCAGCTGCTACGGACACATTGACTGCATTAGAGCCGAGACGATTAGTTGATGAGTTGATCCGTCCGTTCCTCGCTCGGGAGGTCCAGGCTCTTGTCTCTCTATCTCGCGCCTGCACTTGTTGCCGCTCACTCCTGGCTGATGTTTCAACCAACAAAGTACTCCTACACTACAACGTTCCTCTGCTCCCTGCACTGGCTACTGGTGGTTGCTCGAATCCCAATCAAGAAATTGGTCCTTGTCTACCATGCTGTGAATTGTTCATGATGTGCTTGAATGATTCTTGCAGTTTGGGGGTTGTATCCAAATAGTTGAATGGTTTGGATAAAAGTATCAGCTAAATAAATGTAATGCTGCTGTCTGATGACTACACAGAAAAGTTCTGACATTCTACGAGTATTTGTATAGCACCTTTCTAGTCTTTTCGACCACTCAAAGCGCTTTTACACTACATCTGCATTCACCATTCACACACATTCATACACTGGCGGAAGGGGCAACCCGCTCTACCTCCTGAGCCACAGTCGCCCTATTATTATTATTGGTAATGTAATTCAATCATATAAAAATATATATTTTGATTTACATATTAATCTGTAGAAGAGGAAAAAATGTGAAGCAAACTGAGAGGCTAAACAACATACATTAAAGGTGTTCTGTGATTTGAGAGGAATGGACATTTCTGTTTGGTGTCTGGAGATTACCAAACAAGTGCAGATGCAAAAAACACAAAAAACACAAACAAAACCAAACTTGCGTTAAGGAAAATTGCAAACACACTGTGCTTGCCCAGGAAAGAAGGGTAAATGGCCAGTCCTATGACAGGTTGCTCTCTGCTTCCTAACCACAGCTGCGGCTACAGAAGGGCATCCTCACTACACAAAAACCCTGTAAGTGTAATGAAACTGAAACTGTCATCTCTTTGTATGGATACATTATTTTGTTTGGTTTGTAGATCTAGTATTATTCCAGACCAAGTTTTATTTGTTATTTGATTTAAAAAAGGCCCACAGATGTCAGGTACGGAAAACCCTTTTTTCTGTAAGGACTTATAAATCTGAAGCAACTTTTATCAATTACTGAAACATTCATGTATGAATGCACTGAATAAGAACAGTTTAAATGTGAAGGCAATTTTTCTATAAAACAAAAATTTATTTTAGTGTAGTGACGTTTCTTATTCCCATGGATGCACAATTGTGATAAACAATGGTGAGCTCAATAACAATAAGAAAGAAATATATTCCAGTTTAGCCACAACTGTGCAGTCCCACACAGCAGCATTATTCATTGCATTAACTCTCTCATTCATAATCCACAGGGCACTAGCAAAATATGGACACTAGATGGTGTAATACATATACTGACTAAGCATGACATGCTGTTGCAAGAGCACAGTGTTACAACACTGATTTCTGTCTCCTTTAGAATGTGTTGTTCCTCATCTCTTGTTTGTTCAGTCTGGTAAGACTTCGGACCAGTAGTTGCCAATATCAGTGCTCTCGGTTCATCCAAACACATGCACAAATGTCCTCTTTGAGCTCAAATTAGTCACAAACCATAAGCCAGTTGTTTCAAAGTGTCGGTGCACAGACTGAATCCTCATTTTATTTTTTTATTTTATCTTTATTTAACCAAAAAAGAAAACTAATTGAGATTAAAAATCTCTTTTCCAAGAGTGTCCTGGCCAAGACAGGCAGCAGCACACTTCACAAGTTTGCAGACATTAAAACATATAACATAAACGTAAAACATATAACAATTTATGATGGGAATAAATAGTGAGTTACAAGGTCATAAAATATCAAAATTTCAGATATATTTACCACAAGTGATAAACAACAAGGATCGTCCGAGTAATCATTCATAACATCTACAGCCAGTGTGTACAGCCTCCATGTCATTTAAAAGAACTTTCAAAGCAACCAGTGAAACCGGCTCCTGAAGATTCAGGACATTTTGCAGCTGATTCCAAGCGCAGGGGGACGCATACTTAAACGCTCCTTTTCCCAATTCAGTTCGGACTTGAGGGACAGACAGTAGTAATAAGTTTGTAGGTATGGGGGAAGCAGACCAAGAATAGCCTTGTAAATAAGAATGTGCCAATGATTAAGTCTACAGGTGGACAATGCAGACCAACCAACTCGCTCATACAAGGAGCAATGATGAGTAAGGGCTCTAAAGTTTGTGATGAACCTCAGAGCTCCGTGGTAAACAGTATCCAACAGTTTCAAGCTTTGAAAGGATGCATGCATGTATAAAACTTCGACATAGTCCATCACTGACATGAAAGTGGCAGCAACAAGTCTCCTTTTCAGTTTTTTCGCCAACTGCTGAATGTTAGGTTTAAAAGAGAAAGAATCATCAATTAGGATACAGAGATACTTCTATTGAGACACAGACTCAATCTCGGAGCCCTGAGAAGTAGTGGTGGGTGGAAGGTTCATTAACTGGCTGCCATCAAAAATATGCTATGAAAAAATCTGTATCATTGTATTTTTACAAAACACTGATGCGATGAGACACATCACTTGCAGCACATTACTGACTGAGAGCAGGCTTTAGAAGAAGTTTTATTTATATAGCGCCTTTCCAGAGCTCAAGGTCGCTTTACATGGTACATTTACACACTAACACACAACTTACAATCACATCTTTAGAATCTTAGGAGTAGTCTGGAATACTTTTAGCACTAAAATGGTTTGTGAGTTACTCTTTTAGGAGTTTCTCTGTAACTCAGCTACTAACAGAAATTCCTTTTAGCCTTAGAATGCTTTGTGAATATTATTTACTAATTTTAATGTAGACTTTTACTTAAACGTAAGTATTTCAGGAAGCTCAACCTGCCTAAGGACCTGCTGATCCAGTTCTACACAGCCATCATCCAGTCTGTCCTCTGCACCTCCATCACTGTTTGGTTTGGATCTACCACCAAAAAGGACAGGAGCAGACTACAACGGACAGTCAGGACTGCAGAAAAGATCATTGGTGCCAACCTGCCCTCCATTCAGGACTTATACATTTCCAGAGTCAGGAAACAGGCACGAAACATCACTGCAGATCTATCTCACCCGGGACACAACCTGTTCCAGCTTCTCCCCTCTGGTAAGCGCTACAGAGCACTGTACACCAAAACCAACAGACTCAGGAACAGTTTCTTCCCACAAGCCATCACTCTGATGAACAGCTGATTTCTGACTCACAGTGTCAGGAACAATTCCTGTGCAATAACCCAGTAACTCTGCCTCTAATCAGCCTACTGGTTTCCACTTATTATTTATTCATCATTCCCTATTTCAGTGCTGTTCATACTGTTATATTGTCATATTGTATAATCTGTATACCAAATCCACCTACCTCAAGTCATTACTCCTGCACAAAATACTTATTTATTCCAGCTATGCATGTATATCACATCCACCTCTGACATGTACATACTCCTGCATCCTATTGTGATTTTGTATTTTTGTATGAGTAAGCACATCATGAGCAATGCACAATCCAGAATCAAATTCCTCGTAAGTGTACACATACCTGCCAATAAAGCTGATTATGATTCTTTTTCTATTGTTTGTTCTGTTAAAGAACACTTTATAAAATCCACCTGTGTTTGCTGACATGTGTACAAAGTATTTCAGAATAAAAATACACATATTTGAGTATGAACAACAGTTTACAACTGGCTACTGTATGTACAATATGTAGTGTAACACTAAACATGCAAAAGACCTACTGATAAGATTATTGTAGTGTTTACGCTCACCATAGTGTTTCCCATTAAACACATCAATGTTCAATTGGTTTTTTTAAGACAGAACATTTTTTGAATTTTTGTAAGTGATTTGTGGGTTTTTGTGCTCTGTGCGAGTTTTGTATTTGTGTTTAGAGTGTTAAGAAAATGAGCCATGCTTTCAGAAAATGTATGTAAGCAATTGAGAAAAACTGTGATAAAAAACACTTGGTATGTCAGCCAGCATGTCTCTGTTTGTTACCTGAAGCCTTATGAACAGTGGACGAGCGTACGCTGGCAGATCCCTCACCACAGTGTGAAACAGTTTCTTCCCATTGAATGTGAGGCCTGGTCTTACAATCATGGCAGCCATTCCTGCTCTGCCCTCATGCCCTGTGGACAACATCCGTCATCACTCTCCAGCTCAGTGTTATTCATTGGTGGGATGTTCATTATTAGGAATGGTACTGACAACATGCATCCCAGCTTGGGCTCACTTAGCTGGACATGATTGCAATAATAAAGTTAATATATGTGGCACATTATTTAGGGAGGATTATTCTAAAACACCTATTTTATATAATTTTGTTGAGATGAGCAATATTTGGATAGCAAGGGTAGACATGCAAATACAAATACTCTTAAACATACCTGGTACTTCCACTCCATACACATTGACTTCTTGAATAAAATCCACAAGCCCAAGAGTCTCTGCTACCTCTGTCGTTGCTACATTTTCACCCTTCCACCTGAAATCAGGGGGAAATGATAGTGATTTCAGTTTCAATGGTGCAAGTATAGTAAGCTTTGCATAACACACAGTAGCTTCGGGACATAGCGCCTCTAACCTGGTAATACAGATCTTGGATTAATGCCTGCGTTCATCCCATTTACACCAAGTATTTAATCATTACTCTCTCTCATTTGAACATCATTGGGTCAGCATATTTTCTTTGCTTTGTTTTTGTTTGTAATCCTTTAGATGCCAGCCAGGGTAGAGAACACCTGTGGTTCCAGTTACTGGTTTATTAAAGACAAAAATATTGTCTGACATGTTAATAATGAAATCATGATGGAGAAACACTCAGCACTGTCTTCTGTATCACATCCAGTTCATGCTGGATCTTTTCCTGTGAATCCCCTGTGAGCAGGTGCACACAAGAGTTAATGACATAAAAGTGTCTGACAATTTATGTAACTTTTTACGAAACCAACATGTTACAGAGTGACTGACCACCTGTGAGGCGGTGAGAAAGTAGCAGGGTTAGAACTCTCTCAAGCTCGTTTTGTTCTTTCATTACATAACTACTTCTGTCACTTTTCATGTGTACAACTGAGAGGAACCCCAGTCTGTGCAAAAGTATTTGCCATTGTTTGCTTCAAGCATATGCACCTTAAGACCAACCTTTCTTTATTTGTTATTTGATTAGACAGGACACTAGAGGCTTAGATTGGACACTAGAGGCTTACCTTAAATCTCAGTTTATCATGTGAACGCACCTGCAGGATTTATCACAATCACAACTAGTTTGAAATTCCTCTTGAATTTCATTTTTACTTATAAAAGTAAAGAGCCATGAAACTAAGAACACTTCCAAATTACATAAGTTAACAATTTAGAAATATGCCTGCAATCATTCAGAAATTTCTGATGAAGTCCTGTCTCCTTTTAACATGTGTTACAGCAACTTAGTATTGCATTTTCATATGTGGGACTCACATGGACAGATTATCAAAACTGAGGCAGCAGAGTAATGATATGCTGATTTTTAGTACCTAGTATCACTAAAGCGCCAAAAACACTGAATCCAGAAGAAGGAGAACATCATTTAAAAGTTGTAACACCGCAAACAGCCATCCTCAACACTCTTTTGTGTACATTACATAACTTACATGCTAACGTAACGTGGTAAGATGACATTACATTACCTCTGTAGCTCAAATTTTTCTGGGTGATGACCCCCCACCCCCCCGTAATATGATGATAGTTATTATTATTAATAGTAATAATACTAATAATAATCATACATTTGTGTAGCCTATCATATTTAATAAATAAAATGTAGAGTGAAATGGAAGTTGTAAAAGACAAAGGTGATGATTCAAATAGATAGATGGCATAACAAGTTAGCAACAGCAAATGAGACAGCTGATAGAGTTTTGTTGTGGGTCAATAAAGGTAGAGGTTGTTTACTGTTGCAGCGTGTTTGGGTCCCCCAATGTTTCAAGATCCTAAAAACACTCGTAGAACCTGCAGTAGACATACCTGAAGGTGTCTCCTACTCTGTCTCTGAAACAGATAAAGCCCTCCTGGTCTTCAGCCATGAGGTCTCCTGTGTTAAAATAGGCGTCTCCCTTCATGAACACATTTCTCATCAGCTTCTTCTCAGTCAGCTGCTTGCTTCCAGCATAGCCAAAGAACGGGCTCATGGCACTCACTTTGGACAATAAAAGCCCTGTTTCACCTGAAGGAAAATACAGAAATACAAATACATTCCTGTAAAGTCAACTTTAAAAGAAATTCTAAAAACAAACTAAAAACAATTCATTTGTGGAGTTACACCCTTACCCCTCTCCACTCGCTGACAGAAACCATACTGATCTTTCAATGGTTCATCTTTCACCAAGTCATACTTTACAAGATCATACTTGAACAGGAGCTACAAAAAAAGTTAAAAGAAAAAAACATTACATTGGGCAGTGTCATTCAAATCTACACTAACTAATGGAATAATTTTACACTAACTGGAAAGGCAGACTTTGTTAAAGTTATTGATTGCAGCTGTGCTTTTCCTGCTAGTGCATGTCAAAATGTCTGATGTTAAAATGTTTAAGCAATTGTAAAATGTGATTTTGTTGTAGTGCTAGTAGCAGACCAAAAAATAAAACTACTTCCTGTATGTATCTAATCGATGAATGGCTGTCATGGAAAGTAGAGTATGAGAGATGCAGTTGAAAGCTCAAAAACAGAACTGCAGCATCAAGCCACCTTGGCCAACAGGAACAATACAAAGACGAGTGTTTCAACAGCCTTTGCATTAACAAAGACAAAACAGATGACACAAAAAAGGGCAGAGCTAATTCCACTCCAAACCCCAAAAGACTCTTCAGCTCGGGTGCCCCATCCACATCCTCAAAGACACTATGATGCTCAGAGGTGAGCATGGGAAGTTTTTTGCTGCTTAATCTCAGTATGATTCAACCCAGTTTAGAATTGTTGTGCAATGTAATCGGACCAAACAGCTGATCTTTCATGTTATATTCACTACATAATTCATTATTCATCAATCCTTTTCCCATCGCCTATTTGTGGCATAAACTTTATATGGACTATTCTGGACACTGTGAACTTCTTACGTATTTCGTATGTCTGAGCCACCTGGCAATTACTAGTAAAGCAGCCTGCTATAAGGAGAGGAAGTAATGTTGATTTAGAATTAGTAATGCAATCAAGTGGGAAACTTCAGGTCTGAGAAGCGAACGCGGTAGTCCCTTAAACCTGCATTCTATTGAATGGCCAGCGGGCGGCGACTCCTCTGGTTGCAAAAAGAATTCCAGTTCCATTTGAAATAATAATAAAATGACCCTACTTCTCACCTGATTTTATTACCTGAGAAAACACTTTCACAATGATTTTAAGGTCTCAATTGCTAGTTTTGTGTCTTCTTTAATACAGCGTGATGTTCATTTAGTAATTATGGCCCCATTTAGAGGAACATAGACCATAAAGCAGAGTAGGCTTCAGGGCGGGACTATCTGTGATTGACAAGTCGTTACATGGCGACCTGTCAATCAGGCTAAAGTGACTTGTATCCACTGCCCTGTGTAAATTTAACCAGCACGGCTGAAAAAGCATATTAGGAGTTGATTTTCTCTGGTGAGTACATTTTGTTTCAAGCCTGTTGTTCGCTAGACAAAATGATCATCCTGGTTAAAATGACAGTTAATGTGAATTACAGATGCACCTATCTAAGCAAGCTAGCTAGCTCCACACAGACCCGTTAGCTCCACAGTCTTTTCCAAATATGGTCACATCCAATGCCGCTGGTTGCAAAAAATCAACATGGTGGCGCCATAATGGCCAAACTTGAGGCTTCAAAATGGCAGTCCAAAAATCACAATGACTATGTCCATTTCTTTTACACAGTCTATGATTGCAATATAGCAGCCATGTGATGGTCTTGCCACAATCCTGTTTCATCCATCGTGACAAGACTTGTTAGAAGCATTATCTTTAAGTAAATGCGTTTACTAGTGATATACAGTCCCCACAAAGATTTTGGAACGGTAAGGCAAATTCCTTTGTTTTTGTTGTTCACTGAAGACATTTGGGTTTAAGATCAAAAGATGAGTATGAGAAGAGTTCAGAATTTCAGCTTTTATTTCCTGGTATTCACATCTAGTTGTGTTAAACAACTCAGGACATATCACCCTTTGTTTGAACCCACACATTTAGCAAAACTAGTGGAACATGTGACTGACAGATGGTTCTTGTTGCCGGTGTTGCCTTTTAGGTTGATTGTCCAAACATTAAACAGCTCTGCATGACTAGACTAAGTTTTCATCCTTGGTTCAACCTACAAAGACTGCATTTCCTGTTAAAGAAGACCAGAGAGCTGTCTATGGGAGAAAAGCAAGCCATTGTCAAGCTGAGAAAAGAAGGAAAATCGACCAGAGCCGTTGGACAAACATTGGGCATAGCAAGCACAACAATTTAGAATGTCCTGAAAAAGAAACAGACACAACAGACGTCCAACAGGTCGGCCAAGGAAAACAGTGGTTGATGACAGAAATATGGTGAGAGCTGTGAAGAAAACCCCCAAAACATCAAGAAGTGACATCAGCAACGACCTCCACAGTGCAGGGTGAAGGTATCACAATCCACTGTTGGAAGAAGACTCAGAGAGCAGAAATATAGAGGCCACACCACAAGATGCAAACCACTCATCAGCAGGAAGAAACGGAAGGCCAGATTGAAATTTGCAAAGACGCTCATCTCTATGAGCTGCAAAAGTTCTGGACCAAGATTAATCTCTAGCGTAGTGATGGGAAGGCCAAAGTGTGGAGAAAGAAAGGAATTGCTAATGAGCCGAAGCATACAAGCTCATCTGTGAAGCATGGTGGAGTAATGTCATGGCTTGGGCGTGCATGGCTGCTTCTGGAACAGGCTCATTAATATTTATTGATGATGGAACTGATGATGGTAGCAGCAGAATGAATTCAGAAGTGGACAGAAACATTTTGTCTGCCGATTTACGGAGAAATGAATTGAAACAAATGGGGAGGAAGTTTATCATGCAGCAGGACAATGAGCCAAAGCACACTGCCAACAAAACAAAGGACTTCATCAGGGGAAAAAGTGGAAGGTTTTAGACTGGCCAAGTCAATCACCTGACCTTAACCCAACAGAGCTGCATTTCAGCTCCTTAAGAGGAGACTGAAGGGAGAAACACCCCAAAACCAACAAGAACTGAAAGAAGCTGCGGTAAAAGCCTGGAATAGCATCACAAATGAAGAATGCAACAGTTTGGTGATGTCGATGGGTCGCAGGCTTGAGACAGTTATTGCAAGCAAGGGTTATGCCACCAAATTTTAAATGATTTACTTTAAGATTATTTGTTCCATTACTTTTGCTCACCTAAGAATGCTGTGGTCTAATACAAACGGAAATTCTGAACTCTGGTCTCATACTCATCTTTTGATCTTAAACCCAAATGTCTTCAGTGAACAACAAAAACAAAGGGATTTGCCTTACCGTTCCAATACTTTTGGAAGGGACTGAAAACAGCATATTTCTAGAGTTTATGATGAATTGTTTATTTTATTAGTTGATGGCATGTGATTGCAGCTGAAATAACATTTGTTTGTTTCCTGACATAAGCTATTATTTTATACCAATTTAATGTGTGCCCGTTATCCGGTTAGTATTCAATATACTTAAAATACTTACCCTTTCATACCTGTAAATTCAACATGTAATTCTGTGTTTGTTACAATTTTACAAAAAAGAACTGCTCAAGTAAACTTCAACAACATAAACCTGCTTCTCCTGGAATTTGTTTTTGAGAAGATGTTTAGGCTGACTGGATAGCATTGCTAGAAGCCGAAGGAGCCTGGAGGAGGCATGGGAGAGGCTGGAAGACACACATGGCTCACCAGAAGCCAGGTAACGCGCTCTTTACACCAAGCTCGAGAATTTCCCACAGGTGAGTGTGGAGCTTTTGTGGATCTTTGTCAAACTAGAAGAACTGTTGCTGGAGCTTGAGGCAGCAAAGGTGCATGGCTACCTATCTGGAATAGAATACTTAAGACACCTCCACCTGGGGCCGGAGGTCGCCAGCAGACCATGATTGTGACATTAAGAAAAGGTCAGTTTCAAGTTTTAATACAGTCTCTGATTCCAAAGTAGGTCTAAAGTGACCTTAGATAATTAAATTATCTCAACTGGCAGATGATAAATGTATTTAGTCTAATAGAGAGGAATGAATCAAAGCAATTAAATGTGTTGAGGAGTTTTCTACTGTCTCAGGCTTAAGAATGAACTTGAACAAATCTGTTTACTACACTACCGCTTAAGGACTGTGAACTATCAGAAGTTAATGGTATCCTGTGAAGTTACATACCTGGGTGTGATAAGAATGAAACAATCTGCAATAACCTAAACTTCAGCCCTATGATTGAACAAATAATGAAAAGGTTCCAAAATGCGGTGGATGAGGGATCTTTCACTGAATGGTTCTACTATCTAATGAGGGAATATCCAGATCTATGTATCCTTATCATTGGAATACTGAAATATACAAAGAATTAGATAAGATCCACTATCGGCTAACGTTAGTAAATAAATCTCTCCACATTTGCTTTTTGCCGTTAAATCCTTTCTTGCAGGCTAAAACAACAGTGGTACACAGAATAGTAACATGGGTGGCGTTAGTTGGTGAAGTAATGTGGAAAGCGTTATAATTTTCAACCAGATAACATTAGCAACTGCTCGCCGTTAGCCGGCGAGCTAACGTGACTTTCTCTGCGTTTCCCCAGCTTTACTAATGCTTTACTAACTTGGGCTGATGGGATTCAGCACATTAACCTTTTGTTGTTTTATGGTATTAGTGGACTGCATGTCGTGAGCTGCTGTTCGCCGCTGTAGTCATAGAGGCTCGGGAGCGCGCGCAGGGCTGAATCCAACTCGGAGACCTCACATTAAAAGCAGAATAGTGGCTGATGCAAGCAACGGAGAAAACAGGCGTGTGCTTAATTTCTGAGTGAGTTTTGAGGCCATTGACAATAAGGCAATGAAAACTTGATTTATTAAAATCAAAAACTTACATATAGTCCCTTTAAGTAATATTATATTTCTACTAAAATGTCAACTACAAAATCGATAAATTACCTCTGAAGTTATCAAACTTATATAAACAAGCTCTACTGGCCTGAAAATGTATAGATTGTATTTTATTCAAGCACATGATTGCTGTTATTATTCAGTCCAATAACACCAAAGTACGAATAAGATAGCGGACCAGAATCTTTTAATTTGGAACCACGCGCGAGGGCGTGAGACGGGATGCTCCACAGTCTTTGGTCGCTGCCACTAGGGGCGCTAAAGATAGTGGTCGCTGGATACTGGTTGGTGTGGTCGCTGCCACTAGGGGCGCTAAAG